ACACTAAGGATCTTATAACTGATAAGCAATTAAAAATAATATAAATACTCACCCGATCTTACCCAGTCAGCTGCTTGCTCTTGCCATGTGGCACTTTTCAAATTCTGACATTGCCTTAGAAGCTCTGCCTCTGGATTCAGTGAAAGATCACTGTGCTACTGCTTTTAAATAGTGTTCTGCTCAGCTGCAGCCCACCTGGTAAGCTCTCTCTTTCTGGTGCATTGTGCACTGAGTTCTCAGGCTCTTAGTTTGCTTTCTTAATGTTCACTAACTTTACACCTACGTTGGTACTCACCACATCTCTGCCTTGCCTTGCCATGTCATGCCTTTTATTGCAGACATATAGCCAGGCAGATTGTCATATTTGGCAGCATTGAACAGTCAAGGGTTAGTATGGCCTGTCAAGGGGCCTGGTCCAATGTCAATCAGGAAGGGTGGTGAGACAGCCCAAGTGAGTGAACAGAAAACACAAAGGGCAATAAGGATAAGTAGTTTGAGCAGATGTGGTTGTGGCAAGTTAGTGAGGGAAGATGCTTAGCAGGAGTGTGAGGTAGTAAAGACAACAGAATTAAGTTCTGAAGCAGAGTCATATTAGGCACGAAACAGTAACTCTTCTTCTCTCTCCAGATGCTGCCAGACCTGCTGAATGTTTCCAGCATTCTCTGTGTTTGTTGCAGATTTTCAGCATCCATAGTACTTTGCTCTTTATCACTGTCATATTGGCATGAAATGCAGATTGCATTATGTGCTCTTCCATTGCTTTGCTACATAATCACAGTTTTTGGTTATTCAGAATTGACAAAAATTGTCTAAGGCATTTGGAATTGGTAAAATGGTAATTTGTGTCATGGTTGTGTATGTACTCTGGACAACAATCGGACTTCCTTTCCCCAGCATTTGCCATCTTGGAAATGAGGTCGAAAGACTCCAAGGCTGGTGGGGCATACTGAAAACAGTATCTACAGGATGGATGATAAATCCCCTCATAGGAACAGATGTCAACCTGGATATGATTATGAGAGGCTAAGTGGACATTTAGTCAATATAGTGACATATGGAGGTGCCCCACTTCTAATGTGTTTTTTTTCCACTTCATTTTTGAATCTTCACCACATAGAAATGGGAGTGCTTGTGAAATCAGTAGGTGTTCTTTTGGCTGAGCTGCATATAGGGCATTGGGAACAGTGTAAGGCAGCAAGCTTTTGAAGTAGCAGACAGCAGGCTATGGCCCCCTGCTGTGAAATCTGCACAGTCTAGTTACTCGAATTTTATTTGCTTAGGTCTATTCACATGCTAAATAAAATGCAAAAGCCATAAGATTATTCTAATCGGTATAATTTGACAAAGAAAATTTGACAGACATGTTCAAAAACATGAAAATAAAACCAAGAACTGCAGATGCTGGAAATTGGAAACAAAAACAAAAATTGCTGGAGAAAATCAGCAGGTCTGGCACAATCTGTTTGGAGAAAACAGAGTCAATGTTTCCAGTGCAGTGACTCATCATCACTTCTCCAGCAATTTGTGTTTTTGTTCAAAATCATTTATGGTTTTGATAGAGTAAATAAGGAAGAACTATTTCCAATAGCAGAACAGGAATCAGAGGGTGTGGTTTTAAAATGATGAGCAAAAGAACCAGAAAAGTCATGAGGGAAAATGTTTTACACTGTGAGTTGTTTTTGTGATCTGGAATGCAACATCTGAAAGGAAGGTAGAAGGAGTTTCCATGGTTACATTAATGAGGGAATTCAATGAATATTTGAAGGCAAAAAAAGAATACAGGTCTACGGGGAACAATCAGGGAGTGAGACTGATTGGAAGGTTTAACAAAAGGCAGTGGGCTGCATGGTCTCTTTCTGTACTTGATCACTTTTTATCACTTCTGTTAAAGCAGTAAAACTAATATCAGTCCACTTGGGGTTAATATACCCAGTGGAAAAGATTGCTTGTCAACTTCTATCTTTTATAAACTTGGGATGAAAACAAGCTTGTTTTTGAGTAGGTGCTCAACATGAGGAGTGAATGATGAGTTCAAGTTCCCCAACAAAATTTAGTTGGTTTTGCCAGAATTGAAACTAGTCATCAATATAGTGATTTATGCAGTTATATATTTTTCACATAAACAAAGCTAAGTTAAACAGAATGCAGTACATTGAAACAAAATTCCAATACACGGGAATTGCTGTTTATTTTGTATGTTTCAATTCTGAAGAAATTAATTCCCTTATTATGGATTTTTTTTCAATGGCTGACTATTTTCATAAGGGTCAATCAGATGACTGGCTGTTAATCAGCACATATTAATGTGTTTCAGATAAGTTGTTCCATTAATCAGAGCAACTTTGGCTTTTTCTTTGGTAACTTTTGAACATCAGCATTTTCTAACATCTGAGATGCTTCATTTTAATTTTTTTGTCAGACAATAGATTTGGTTTAAAAACGGCACTCTATTTGTCATCCAGAACTATTTGTATTCCCCAATCAGTAATCAGATTTGTAAATAACTAAAGATCTAGAAGCAACCTTTCATTCCCTTCCACAACTAAATGAAAGTGAAGGGACTGTTCTCAATCTTGTTTGTCTGTAAACAATATATCTCAAACTAATGGATGCATTTCAAAGAAACCTCATACACAAGGGAAGGGAAGAACTGATCAGCTTTTGGAGCAGATGCAGATCTGCAACCAGACCCTGAATGCATTCGCTATGTAATTTTAATCAAATTGAGATAATACATTGTGGCTTACCTATGCACTGTACTGATACCTTCTTCACTTGCATAAATATTTTCCTTTTGAGATAATTATCTGACCTCATGGTGAAAAATTTGGATTACTGAGTATGGGAATTGTGAAGTGCGGACAACCCATGTCCAATCCAAATAGAGATAAACATTATGCTGCCTAATTATTAACACGATGACTACATGCAACTCATTGCTGACTGATCAAGTCATGCTGCAGCCCAAGAGAAACAGCAAATATTGACATATCGCAGCAATTTTCCCCAGAAATTGGTTCAACATAAACTTGCCTGATAATACTGATCATAGTATTTTCATCAATCTACAATGCAAATGAAATTCAAAAGCATCTGACCCAAAGTTTCCAATTTTAGCCCTTCAAATACCACTGTTGGGGGAGGAGCTGAGAGCCCTTAACATATATTCAATACAGAATGATTAAGAGAAATTGTTGGCAGAACCTGTGCAATCCAAAATGATAAATTGTGCATCAAATCAATGTTAGAATTCATTTGGTGTTGTGATATTCTGAACTTTGTGCTTCGATACACGTTGCACACGTGGGCTAGTGTCCTTTCATTTGGGGTCACTACACAGGCTGTGCCAGGGTAACAGCAAATCTTTTTAGATTCAGACTTCTGTAGTACCAGCACCAGCCAATGAGCCAAATTTTGTGATCCATGTGCCTATTGGAGAGTGCCACCTGCATGCACTTTTTGCTGGGTTTTCAGATCTGCTGTGCGCAAAATCTTCAGGCTTAGGGGGCGGCACAGTGGCTCAGTGGTTAGCACTGCTGCCTCACAGCATCAGCAACCCGGGTTCGATTTCACCCTCAGGCAACTGTGTGGAGTTTGCACATTCTCCCCGTGTCTGTGTGGGTTTCCTCTGGGTGCTCCAGTTTCCTCTCTCACTCCAAAGATGTGCAGGTTAGGTGGATTGGCCATGCTAACTTGCCCATAGTGTTCAGGGATGTGTAAATTAGGTGGGTTATAGGGGGATGGGTCTGGGTGGGATACTCTGATGTTCGATGTGGACTTGTTAGGCCGAAGGGCCGGTTTCCACACTAGAGATTCTATGAGAAAACTTTTGAATTCATGAATGCAAAGTGACTGGAAAACCTGCAGTGTATATCCAATTTTCATATCTTGAGTCGCGATGTTCCCTGCTAACAAAGGAAGACAGAAAATGATACAGATTAATATTTCCATTATATATTAAGGAACAGTGATTGGAATCAGACTTCAGATCACCATAATTTAATTGATGAATGTTTAAGTTTAATGTTTATTACTTCATGTAAATGTTAATTGAATCACAGGATATTTATTTTTTTAACCAAACATCTATTGCATTGATTTTTACAATGTTTTTGGTAGCGGGGGGGCAGTATTATATCATTCCTTCCTATTTATCCCACCTGGATTACTACATCTAGTATTCCATGTGAACTAGTGCTAGTGGAAATCTCCATATTCGATGTTGATTTTGGGGTAAAGTCGACTGCAATAGACATTTAATGCTCCCTTCTTCAAATTTACAGCTTGCATTAATGAATGCCAAAAAAGTTAATATTGCAAGTTAATATTAAATATAGAAAAATAAAACTATATAACACAAATGATGTATAAGACAATAAGCATCACTTCTGTTCATCAAACTGTACCAAGAGGAGTAAAGGATAACTAAAGAATTAGTGGCGTTCTAACAGTTGTGTGTTTTTATCCTTTGAAATAAATGTTTTGCTATACATGTGAAGTTTTGTTCAACATTTGCTAGTTAATGAAATCTGGCTACTCCATGATGACTTACTGAAAGCTGTATTTTTAACTTAGTGTCCATACACCATTGTTATTATAAAGGTGGAACAGATTTTCTGGAAGTTTACTAATGGCTTGTGACTATTACTGAATGACATTTGTTTGGACTTAATGATTCATCACATAATAAATTCTTAATTTTTGACCCCAACGCATAAATGAGGAGGAAAAGCAACAGTGATGTTACCAAACTCTCTATTTCAGAATTGTGCTGAGTTATTAAAGATGAATATTTCTCCTGTGGCAAAAATTATAACGGAAGAATGGGATTGATGACAATACTATGATTTGGTGTTAACAATTTTTAAACAATGTCTTCTTTAGCATCCTTTTAATGATATTGAAAATGGCAATGATTCAGTTAAGAATTATATGTTATTTTAAATTCTATTTTGTGCATTAAATCTGAGTGTCTAAGTATCTTTAATATTTTCTTTAAGATCTTCACATGCAAAAACCAAGGCTGAAGCAGCAGATCAGGCTTCACAGGCTGCAAGTAATGAATCCAGTATTGCAAGGGCAACCGCCAAGGAGCTGTCTCCAACTTTTTACCAGCCAGGTATTTTTCTGATTTAAAATGCTGTAAATTATTCTGCAAATTTGATGATTCTTCTGTAGGGAAAGAGGGAACTGTTAAATAAATTATCAGCTAAATATCCAACAGCTCAGTGGATAGAATGCTCACTCTCCTTGCACAGCTTTATGATGGTGAAGGAGGTTATCTTAAAGTACAACACAACCTCGGTCAGATGGGCCAATAAGCCAAGGAGTGGCAGGTGGAGTTTATTTTGGAAAAATGTGAGATGTTGCATTTTGGTAAAGCAAATCAGGACAGGACTTATACACTTAATAAAAACCAAAAGAACTGCAGATGCTGTAAATCAGAAACAAAAACAGAAGTTGCTGGGAAAGCTCAACATGTCTGGCAGCCTCTGTGAAGAAAAATCAGAGTTAACGTTTCGGTTCTGGTTAATGTTCTGAGGAAGGGTGACCGGACCCGAAACGCTAACTCTGATTTTTCTTTACAGATGCTGCCAGACCTGCTGAGCTTTTCCAGCAACTGATAAACAAAGAGACTTTTGGGTGCAGGTTCATAGTTGATTGAAGGTGGAGTCAGAGGTAGACAGGGTAGCGAAGAAAGCATTTGGTACACTTGCCTTTATTGGTGAATTCATTGAGTATAGGAGTTGGGATGGCATGTTGCAGCTGTACAGGACTTTGGGTAGGCCATTTTGGAAATACTGCATTCAATTCTAGTCTCCCTGCTATAGAAAAGATGTTGTTACAAATACATAGTTATTACTTGCACTCAGATTAGAATAAAAATGATCTACCTCCAAATGATATTTTTCAAATGTACCCAGATATTTACTTGGGTTAATAGTGACAAATGAAAAGTGATTAATGAAATTTTTGAATGGGAAATCTGGAATATATGGGCTTTCTAAGTATTCTACAGAAGTTAGCTGCAAAAATAATTTACTTTCTTGTGAAAGAATGGGAAACTCAATTTTTGCTGCAGAAAGTGGGAAACTTCTATTTCAGCTGCAGGTAAAGAAATCCTAATATAGCCGCAAAAGCACAGAAGAACACTCCAATAAGTAGTATAGGTAAGCAGCAGTGCTTTACTGCACAGTCAAAAACCTTTAAGCAAAAGAACCTAAAACAGCATTGCTAAAGAGTAGATTTGATGGTCATCAAGGCAAAAAAAAACAGTATTAATTATACCACAGAATTAGATCTGGCCATTTTGTCTCTTTGAATAATGTCAATGTTACAGGATGATGTGGAAGTGCTGGTGTTGGACTGTGGTGGACAAGGTCAGAAATCATACAACACCAGGTTGCAGTCCAGCAGATTTATTTGAAAACACAAGCTTTCAGAGCCTCGCTCCTTCTTCAGGTGTTAGTGGTATCAGTCACAGAATTTATAAGTAAAAGATCAAAGGGTCACACCACTGATGAGGATGTATTAAACAAACTGGAGATGCTGTTAAATCTTTAATCAATTAAAACCTTCTAACTGATTAATACGTACATGTAAATCCCCAAATTCCTTTCAAATCACTACCCTGAGAGAATTAATTAATTGCACTAGGATTAATTTTATCAGAATATAATTGATCTTAGGGTAAACGTCCTCCAAGGTGGACCTCAGGATACACAACGCAGAATCGCTGAGTAGAGGCTGGTAGCCAAGCTCGGCACCCATGGGGACAACCTCAACTGGGATCTTGGCATCATGTCACTATAGAGGTGACCCCAACACACTATACTCTATACACTCACACACACATTCATACACACAGATCCTCTCTCATACACGCACTGTCTCTCAAGTGCACACACACACACATTCCCCCTCCACCCCACACACACACACACACACACACTGTCTCTCCCTCCCACACACAGGTGCAAACACACACACACACACACACACACACACACACACACAAACTCTATCCCTCACTCTCACACATACACACACACACACACACACACACACACACACACACACACACACACACACACACACCCATCTACTCTCTTTGCCTCCCCGCACACACAGGCACACACAGACATATACATACACACACACTCTCTATCTCTCTCTCCCTCCCACGCACAGACACACACCCACACTCACACACGCTCTGTCCTACACACCACGTGCACACACACACATACATATGCGTATACGCACTGTCTCTCACACCCACACACTCCCTCTCCCACACATAGACACACACCCACACTCATACACTGTCACTCTCGCGCACACACACACACTCTCTCTCTCTCTCACATGCACACACACACAAATCCGTGGGGTGAATTTGTATTTGCAGACACATTCTATTTTGTTCAAAGTGCACACAATTTGTTGACATTCAGTCAATGTGGCATTTTATAAATTCCTACTTTAGAAATAAAACCAGTCTGACTCCAAACCGAAACACAGATTCTAAACAAGGCCTCACACCTAACATGCATTGTCTGACCTAAAATGTCACCTTTTCTTTACACTGATAAAACCTTTAGTTTCTCAGGACTGTGACTTGAAAGGAATTCGGTGACATATTACTCAATTAAAACCATCTAACTGATTAAAGAGGTAACAGCATCTTAAGTTTGTTTAATACAGTGAAATGACCCTTTGATCTTTTACTTATAAATTCTGTGTCTGATACCATTTCACTAACGCCTGGAGAAGGAGCAAAGCTCTGACAGCTTGTGTTTTCAAATAAAATTGTTGGACTGATTTCTGACAATGTTAGAGCAGAATTAGTTGCCGGAAATTCTTGCTAACATCCACAAGGAGAGGATAGGAGAAAGCGGAAAGGAGATATAGGAGAAGAAAAGATCAGAGGAAGAAGAGGGAGCAGATCAGAGGAAGCATGATTTCTTTTCATTTTAGTCAAAATTTTGGAATACGACCTTCTGGCACAATTTAAAAGTGAGTGCATGGTGAAGGGCAGCTCCTGGCTGGCAGATTTTCACCTGATGCAGGATTTGGTTTTTAAAAATGGGGTTGGTACTAGGAATCTCAGGCAGTCTGGACAGTGGTGAGTACTCTGCCTCTGGTGAGAAGGAAAATAAGGAGGTGAATTTCAGAAAATGGTGTGAGAAATATCACTGGACTTCACTGAGAGAAACTTACCAAAATTAAGACTTAATTAAAGTCTGGTAAAATGTAGCCTTTTTGTTTTCCATCTTTTATTAAAATATCTCATAAGACCCTTAAAACATGTGGGGAGATAGGCCAGTCAGCCCATTGTGTCTGCTCTGTCATTCAATGAGATCATGGCTGATCTGATAACCTTTAAATCCACTTTGCTGCCGTTTCCCCATAACCCTTGATTCTCTTACTGATTAAAAATCTGTCTCTCTGTCTTGAATATTTTAACAACCCAACTGTCTCTGGTAGAAAAAATTCTAGAGATTCACTATCCTCTGAGAGAAGAAATTCATATCTGTCTTAACTTTGACCCCTTGTTCTGAGGTGACCCCTTACTCTGAGATTTTGCCATCTGGTGTTTGCTTCCCCTTGCGGGAGAGTCTCTCTCTTAATATTTATCCTACAAAGCCCCCTAAGAATCTTATTTATACATTTCAATCAGGTTGTCTCTCATTCTTCTAAACTCCAGTGAGTACAGGCCCACCTGTTATTAACTGTGTCATACAGTTAATGTTTGCATTTTACTTGGACGCTATGCTTCACCTTATTTCAATTCAAGACTTAGTCATCATAAATTAAAGCTTTTGTGTCTCCCTGACCCCTTTGTTGTTTCTCTCGATAGCGTTGGTTTCCACCTTTGTACGTGACAGTTTACTTTAGACTGCATAAGAGATTTTTTTTTTAGTCCACCACGTTCCATTGCAAAATGTTCATTGATCAGAATCCCTACAGTGTGGAAATAGGCAATTCGGCCCAACAAGTCCAAAACGAATCTCCGAACAGCATCCCTGCCAGACTCACCCCCTATCCTAACCCTGTAACCCTGCATTTCCCAGGGCTCATCTACTTAACCTACACATCCCTGAACACTACGGGAAATTTAGCATGGCCAATCCACCTAACCTGCACATCTCTGGACTGTGGGAGGAAACCGGAACACCCGGAGGAAACCTACGCAGACTCGGGGAGAATGTCTGTGTCAAGTTCGCACATTCTCCCAAGGCTGGCATTGAACCTAGGTCCCTGGTGCTGTGAGGCACCAGTGCTAACCACTGAGCCACCGTGTCACCCATGTTGTCAATCTTTTGCCCTTTTCATTTTGAGATTTGTTTTTTTAAAGAATCCAGAGGCGAAAGATAAATGAGATAAAGTGCTTTGTCCTGAATGCTATCAAGCTTCTATAGTGTTGTTGGAGCTGTACTCATCCAGGCAAGTGAGTATTCCTTCACACTCCTGACTTGCGCCTTGTAAATGTATGAACTTTGGAAAATCAGGAGTTGAGTTACTTAACCTGGGATTCCTAGCCTCGCACCCATTCTTGTAGCCACAGTATTTATATAGGAAGTCTTGTAAGATATGTGATTTATACATGTGTTAGTGCCATTTATTCTGGATTTTTAAATAGTAGCATGTCAGTTTTATTGTATCTATGGATTCATTTAATGTTAATTTGTAAGCATTTCTGTAAACATTTAAAAAATATCTTTAAAAATAGTTTGAGATGTATAGTTCGTGGAGGCTAATGGGAATTTGTTCATTTGAGAGTGTTTATGCAAGCGAAGAAAATAAATAGTTGTACACTATGCTTGCAGTGTAGAAGGTCAGACATAATTCTTTTTTGATCAGAAGAAATGTCCATAGCTTGGAAAAAGCTTTTTGGGTTTCAACTTGAGCCGTTTTCTTCTTGGCTGAAGCTGGATGTGTAAAATAGTTATACGTAAAGAAGGGAGATAGTTTAGAACTGTTACACAATAGGTTACTTCAGTATAAGAAGTTTGATTTTGAAGTTCCAAACCAGAGGTATTTGGGTATAACTTTGAAGGGGTTATTCAAAGCTGAAGATGTCTACACTCAGTTATATGAAGGGTCTAGGAAAAGGGGATCAGGTTTTCCAAACCAAGAATTGAAGATACAGCTAAGTCAAATCCACTCTGTGATAGCGAAGCGAGTTTTCTCTGGTATTTGAATTTTCAAGGCGTTTTGTTAGGATTACTGAGATTGAACTGACCATGTATTTTGAGATCCTTAAATTTGTATCATATGTAAATAATTTGGTTTATTCTATTTTATCTTAATTTCTTTTTGCTTAATAATCTGTTTTGTTGTTAAAACCAAATCAAGACAACATTATTAAAACAAAAGAAAATAAAATATGGTCTATATTGCCATCCCACAGTCCCATTTTCTACTTGGGGACCCGACAGCCTCTATTACTCAACATCATGTTCAATAACTTTAGAGCCTGATTCCATCCTTCCATGATTTTTTAACCACCCCACACCCAATCCCATTATGACAGGGATTGCTTTTAACACAGTCACTACTCTCAGGTACTCCTAAGCCCATTATCACATTATATGGGTAGCATTCAGTACAGTTCATCCATTTTCTCCTACTCTTAGCTCTTGAGCCAGGATGCATTTGGGAAATGTCTTTTCCTGAAGGCTACCTCTGAGGTCACCATCTAATTAAGGATATTGGGTGAGCTCCTCCTACTGGTTTAACCTCAAGTAGAGGTGGACTTTGCTGACAGGAGAACACCAGAATGACTCAAAATGGAGTGACCCCTAGACAGGTGAAAACTATTACAGAAATTGCTGGAAAAGCTCAGCAGGTCTGGCAGCATCTGTGGAGAGAAATCAGAGTTAATGTTTCAGGTCATGTGACCCTTCTTCAGAACTATCTCCTTCTGATTGGTGAAGAAACCCCTCAAGAGACAACATTTGCGTTTTGAACATGGTCTTTGCTGCCAGTAACTCTTAGGGGCATGGATCTCTGACTCTGACACTAATTCCCTAGCACCTTAGTGTGCTGATTGTAACGCGGTCAGCCATGAGTTCCCCAATTGGGGTTGTTAACCTGGTCCAATCAGGGAGCCCTGGCTGACAGATAGGAACAGAGTGTCAGACGTTTTGCTCACTCTGAGATTTGGGTCTGAGGGAGCTGGATCAGTTAATGAATTAATGAATCTCTGTGTAAATTAAGGGTGACTTGTTGACACGATACTGGCCTCTGTGAAGTTATTTCACTTAGGACTGTCACAAGGAAGTCACCTTCACTAAAGTACCAGCTTCCACACATGGCAAGAAGCTGTTCTACCAGTGGCAAATGCTAGAACTTTAAATGGCCCCTAATTACATCAGACAATTAATCAGTTTGCTGGTTTTCTAATCTCAACAAAGCTTCCCAATATTTTTGCAGCTCCCCTTGCCTCCTATTGCATTCTGGGAGATCTCTGCTCGCTGTTTCAGGTCTGAGATCTTTGACCAAATCTGGGAAAAATTAGAAATGTTAAAAATTAGAAAAGTAACAGGGAAGAGTGTGGGATAAAGAGAAGGCCTTTGCTAGGGAGAGGGCAGAAAAGATTAAATGGCAGAAGCTTTCATAATGTAACATTGAATGGAGTGATAATGGGATAAGAAAAGTATCCTGAATAAAGACAGTGGGCAGTGGAAAATATTATTCTGTCATAGAATCATGATGTACAAAAAGAGACAATTTAACAATTATGCACATGCTAACTTTTTCAAAAGAGGTGTCCCGTTAGTCCCTTTCCTCTTCTCTTTCCACATACCCATTCCCCTTCAAGGACTTACTCAATTTCCTTTCAGAAGTAATGATTTAGTCTGTTTCAGACACCCGTTCCTGTAGTTGATGCCTAATAAAATTAAAAGAAAAACTCTAAATCTCGCCTGTGGTTCTTTTGTCAGTACCCTTAAATCCATGTTCTCTGGTAACCTTTCTACCACTGGAAACAATTTCTCTTAACAGGCACCCAGCCAGGTCAGTTTCCAGAGTTGTAACTCTAGGACTTGGCAGGGAAACTTCACACAGTAGTCAACAACAATAAATGTACTTTCATGTGACACTTCCTGCACAACACAACACTCTCATGCTCCTCAGTGCATCCATCGCACCTCCGTCACTCATCCAGCAGCATTTGGGACTCATACCTACCAGTAAAATATTTCACCTCACGCACATCTACTAATGCTGCCAATTTCCTGTTGCACATATCTATCAAAACACTTCAAAATTTTCAACTCTTTGATTAAATCTGCCCTCAACCACAACAATTTTACATTAAGCACCTTTAATATGTTAAAATGTCCCAATATACTTCAATGAGTGATTATCAAACAAAATTTAACATCGAGAAACTTAAAAAAATTAAGACAGATGATCAATGTCTTGGACAAACTTGTTGTTTTTCATGAATGTCTTAAGGAAGATAGAGCTAGATGACAGAGTGGTTTAGGGAAGAAATTAGAATTGAGGCATGGTCATCAGAGCTGAAGTGAGGAAATTCAGGGATGTGCAAGAGACCAGAATTGAAGGGGCACAGAAACCTTAGAGTGGAAGTGATTTTAGAGAGATAGTGCGGATAAAACCATGTAAAATTGTAGCATTGCTGGACTGAGAGCTAAGGTTGAGCACGTTTGAGCACAAGGATAATGGATGAACAAAACTTGGTCTGTGAGGACTTAATGTTGATGGAGAGAGCAATGTGGAAGGCTGGTTGGTTGGGAGATTATTAGAATAGTTAAGATTAAAGTTAACAAATATGTTGCTGGCGAATTCTGAAAACGCCGTGGTAGTTTAGGGACAGGTGTTGAAGACAAGTAATCCAATTCTTCAGTCCCATGTAAATGATGTCTTACAGCCCTAGCAGTAAGTTTACCCTGTCCATCCACCACCCCCACACCACTTTTAAACTGCAACATCCTTCCTGAAGTGTGGTTGCTAGAATTGGATACAATATTTAAGCTGAGGTCTTAGCAGTTACTTACAAAGAATCTGGAATGACTTGCTTGATTTTGTTCTTAGATCTTGGTTTATGCTTTTGCAACAGAATACTCATAATTAATTGGAGCAAATCTCATTATTTCATTACACATGTATTTCAAGTAGGCTATTGTTTCAAGCTGCAAAGTTAAAGAAAGTAAAACATCATGACAAGGAACTGAAAAACTCTAGTGAGTGTATGCTGGTATTAGGTGTAGAAACTTGTTAATTATATGCTGTATTCTACACCCAGTGGTTATGAGATTAAATGTAATAAATCTTTGTATTTTTGGGCTATGAAAGTTTGCATTGTTACTATACTGAAATAATTTTGAGCCATCTGCATTTTGTGAAACTGTACTAAACAGCTAAATATTCTTTTACAGGTCCTGAATATCAGAAAAGAAGATTGCTTCAGGAACTGATAGAAAATGGAAATAATGTAGAAATTACAGACCAGGAGCCTCCATCAATCGAAGAGCCTCCACCTACACCTCCAGAGAGCCCTGGACTCCATGAGAAAGCCACAACTCCACTTGAGTCCTCTCCTGCTGGCACCCCTTCTCCAAGTCCTTTGGAGACACCACCAGAGGTTAGAAAAGTTAGAGGATCAAATCCCAAGATGGAGGACTCAAGCCACTTGAGTCCTGGCAACTGGAATGGTGAGCAAAATAAAAGTAACCGGTCCACCAGTCATCCTGGAACACCTTCTGGTTTATCGACCTTGCAAATTGAGAACAGGTCATCTGCCAATGACCGAAATCCTCTCAGGACCTCCAGTCTCCAGAACAACAGAAGAACCCCTACTAAACTGGAGGAGCAACTACAAAACAACTATGATTTAGACATAAAGCCTCTGGAAAGAATTGAAAGTAAGCCTAATACAAATCAAACGATCAAAGCAAGAGAACCCATCCCACCACATCAGCTGCATGATGCTAAATTCCATGATAGCTACCACAGTTATGCTGTGCGGACACAATTGGGACCTCCTCCTTTAGATTTAGTGGATGATGAAACTCCTGTAAAATTATTGTCAGTTAAGCAAGAAGCACACCCAGCAAAACCTTTAACACCAGAGCCAAAAGCAGAGATCAAAGCAAAAAAGCCTGAACCGGAACCAAAGCCAGCGCCTCAAATGCAAGAAAAAGTACCGCTTCCTAAACAGGAAAAACACTCACAACCCTGGCCAGAATCCAGACCTCAGTCTAAGTCTGAACCCAAGCCTGGGCTTAAACCGATGTCAAAACCAGTACCTAAACTAATAACACAACCTGACACAGCAGGGAAAGAAGTAGCAGACGTGGCACCATTTGATCAGGTGAGTTTTTCATTAGAGCCATGGGTATAATACATGGATTTACAAACTGATCTGCAAACTGTTATCTCCTATGATACAATTTGGCTTTTAGAACAGCTAGATAAATACCCTCAAAGTATATTGTTACATTGACATTAAAATCCAAGCATGTTAAGGGGGCAAAGCAAAGCCACATTGTTGATTTGGATATTAATTGCATACAGGTGGCAGGCGCTAACTGGGGATTCATTTGAGCCCCTATAAATAGATACAGATAGAAAATGTAGTTCTTGGGTTAGGAGGCATATGCTGCAATGTTCAAGTCTAAATAAATATGCAAGTGTTTAAAGATGGTCTTCATTTCTATCCTTTGCTAGCTGGTTCCATGGAATAGAACACATTTATCATGTCAATAATAGTTTGATATATTTAAGAATTGAATTAAATGATGGATCAGATCTTTTACCGGGTTAAGACGCAAGCTTGTACCCTTACGTTTTCCAAAATGCATGCAAGTGTGGAAAAGTTTTCTATACTTAATTTTGTGAAAATTTCAGTGCAGTGGAGACATACTACTATGCGAACTATTACAGAATGAAAAGGTAGAATAAACTTCAGCAAGTATAATATTCTTCATGTTGGTACACCTAACTCCACTGAACCATTTGAAATCACTATATACTGATTATTGTTCAAAATGGCCTTTCTATTTTTTTGATACACCTAAGGATCCAGTTTCCTTATATTGACAGAGCAACAAAGCTTTAAAAAAGCTCAAGGTGACTTAAAGATATTTTGAATGAGTTCAGATCTGGATTCTGTTACATCTAGCCTACTGAAGGGCCTAGAACCTATACTGATTGATCAGAATAAAGGAAAAGTAAATGTTGGGTTATGACTAATGACATTTTGTAAAATTTCATGGAGGATTTCTCTCAATGAGGCCTAGTGAGTTTTCCTGCATAATCATCCCAACCTCAACTAATTAACTATGTAACACCCATCTGTGGCACCCCTCATCAGATGCTGGCCAAATTCTACCATTCAATATAGCTGGAGCAACTTGCCACTGCCAGGATATCCTGGAAAAGACCAGCATTCCTGACATTGGCACCATCTTGGAACCCCATCTGCGCACCTGGTCATTGGCAGTCTGGAGTTTCCCTTCATTGTCAGTGGTTTAGCACGGCCCAATCTAGTGCTGTCACAGCATAGAGGTGGCATAGTTGACATTTCCTTGCACTTACAACTGCACATTCCTACCCTAATTGCTGTTTCCCCATCAGACCACACATTTCAATATTCTGCAGCAGCATCCTTTTTCAGAATCCCAACTAAGTGACAGACACTCTGTCCTCACTGCCCATTGCAACCTTATCATTGTTCACTCTGGGGCCATCAGGGATGGAAAAATATTCAAATAGTGCATAATGGAGTTGTCAGCCATCATTGGAGTGGATAGCCCTTGATTCCCAATAACCATTCTTGAAAGACATCTGCACCCTCAAACACAGAAAAAATTCTCAAAAGTATGGGAATCATGGCAGGTCCAGGCTACCAAGCACAAATGTATACGAAATGATACCAGAGATCGCAGATCACATGCACATTGAAGGAATGGAATCCTTTTTATTGATGAATTGTGCAGCATTGTGATATGCCTGTCTTAGCACATAGTGTGTACTGTCACTTTGCACACGGGGAAAGTGAGCTATATTTCCAAAACCTACTGTCTGGGCTGCAGCACTCACCTCACAGGTAAATTAAATGAAATTGTGTGATTTTAGCACAAGTGGCATTAGTAATATTCTTGATGCATTTGTGGGTGGACAGTTGAGAAATCCCACACAGATTGCTGGTGGGTCCCTGAAAGGAGCACCTTGCATAAAAGTTTAATGCAGTTGTCACCTTCACGACTCCTTAAGGTCACAGGTCCTGCTTCAGTGAACAGGGGGTACAGAAAGTCACTCCTGTAAGCATGTGCTAAGATGTTGGTGTTGGTGTTGGGTATCAAAGATGGAAGTTCATAGGAGCAAGTGGTGAGCTGGAGTTACCAGATACCCATTCAGACTTTCATTTTGGGAATTCTTGGCATGCAGTTTCTATCTGGTGTGATATAGAATAGGAAAATATATATTAATAGGAAAATATATATTAATGAGGTGAGATTCGGTGTTAATGAGACAATAAGCAATAATCTCATTAATAGGCACCTCGCCACTCACTAGTGAGAATCTTGTCTCCCTATCTAGAACTCTCGGAGAATACTTCTTGTTGCTCCTAACATTAAGAGAGATCTCACCGGACTTCTCAGATAATTCTGCCTGATTTTTCACCATAGCCCACGTCATTTAGATTCCATCTGTTGTCTTCAATTTTCCCTGACTTCCACACACAAACCTTACATATTGCACATGTTGGCTTCTGAGCAGTCAACAGGTACATCCAAGATGTGACTGAAACTTGGTAAAATAGGATGACTGCTAAATTGACGTCTGCTGCAGCTACTACTTTCCTTGTGACCTCAGTAATTGATAAGGCACAACACAACCTCTCCTATGCAGACATTCAGCTCAGACAGTTGCAAATACAGAAAAATATCATGAAAGCCTATTTAAGACAACCTGTGTGAGATTGCTTTGCCTGAGGCACACAAATTTTGAATCTTGTCCACGTTGATCAGAGTAGCAGTCAGTAATTCTGTACTACTGTTCTCAAATGAAGTAATTTAAGTACAGCCAGGACTCTGTGGTGCTGTGAATGTGCCTGTCTCTGGACCAAGAGGTCCATGTTCAAGTTCACCTTCTCCAAATATATGTTATAACATCTCTGAGCAGGTTGTTAAGAAAGTATCTATAAGTATGACTTTCTTTAGAGTCATAGAGGGTTTACACTGGGTTGATTAGCTCAGTTGGTTGAATGGCTGGTTTGTGATGCAGAGTGATGCCAACAGTGTGAGATCAATGACAGTGCCTTGTAAGATTGTCTTCCTCAATCTCCCCTTGCCTGGAAGTAAAGCACCTCCAGTCAACGCTCTCTAAGAGACCAACCCAATGGTCCAATAGGACTATGGGACTTTCCCTTTACTGGAGGACTACAGCACAGAAAAAAGCCTTTTGGCCCATTGAGTCTACGCTGGTCAAAAACAACCACCTAACTATTCTACTCCCATTGTCCAGCACTTGGCTTGTAGCTTTGTATGCTTGGCATCACAAGTGCACATCTAAATATTATTTTCTATTTAGAAACAAAGATAATTTTTAAAAGTTTATTCTTCTCTGCTCATATTTGATTACATTTAAAATTTATTTCTTATTTTTGGAATGCCGAAATCCCAAAAGTAAATTTAAAAAATCGCTAAGTCTAAGTTTAAAACTACTTACAAACGTTAATTTTATCATAATGGAGAAAGTTGACATTTCACAAATATAAAAAGATGAAATATTTCTTCTTAAAAATTAAAAAACCAGGGTCCATTATGTTACTTAGCACTAATTATGAAGTTAGTGTGCTGTTTAAAAATCCAGTATGCCTCATTTACAAGATTGGGTTTAGCAATGATTTTTGCAGTCAGAAAAATAGTATAAAAGGGGCAATTCTCAGCAGTTCCTTGATTGTTCAGGTTATAGTCTGGGGATGCCTCAACAGCACACTCTGGAGGAGCACTGTCCATATTATTCTGAACAAACTCTGTCAGTTTCAGTGGCATAATTACAGCTAATATGGACAATTTTGCCATCATTTACCATTGCAAACTTTTATAAAAACAGAAAAGGTCTGATTAATATTTTCACCTTTAACATGTTGGTTTTAACAAAAATAAATCTTGATCACAAAAATTTCGGGTATATGTTTCCAAAGAAGAGCCCTCTATTTGCAAATTCATACTGAACTGCAGGACTTCTGCTTGTTCAATATATAGCATAGATGCTCCCTATAAAAAGATAGATACATCATTTGTCTAGGTCCTTGCTGGTGTTCACATCAGTTGTCAGAACAAACTGCTGGAGATGAATCAGCTCAAAGTAGTGAACAGCTTTGTGACATTATTTCAAGCTCTGGCCACAATACGCATTTATGCTTTATCAATTATCTGAAGCCAACTAGGAAGTATTTCAGTGCTCAATGACAGATCTACCCTCTAAGTCGGATTACCAAGTCTGTATGTAAGTTTGACTTGCTTCTAAAATATGATCACCAGGCAGATTTATTTCTGGAATTATTTCAAAAACACACAATCTACCTTTTCGTCAGGAAGAATGAAAAATTAGACTTAATAGAAAGCCGACATTAGATAAACATGAGTTTGAGCCCTTTCTGGATGAACCAAGTTGCTAGAAATCCACAATTTGTGGCACAAGCAATATAAATGTCATTGTATTGCCATTATCCTTCTGATTAAGGGCTGGATACATCCTATGTCCTGTTCAATAATGCTTCATCTCAACTTATGTAAATCTCATTCTGTATGGGAAGTATTAAAGAATCAAAGTGTTATATTTAATAGTACCGTGCCAACAAAGTTAACAGTGGAATTATTTTCACACATAATGTTTACAATAAGTACTTTTAGTAAGTGCATGATATCAATTAAACTTGTGGTGTTGACTAATGTTTGAACTGTAGCACTGCTTTAATACCATATGTGGTTTAAAATGTCCAGAATGGCATTGCAATGAATATGTTCAAAGGAAATAAGAGAAAGTGTACATGGTCTTTTCAAAAATATTTTTAAAAACCTTTATATAAATAAACCTGTCATGATCTATCTACTGCTTTAGAAAATATCATTGCAAGCATGTCAGACAGTGGGAGGCTGGATGGCTAAAACTCCAGAATTCTGAATTACTTTTCTTATTACAGGATTCTTACAGAAAATAAACAGTTTAATTTTGGAATTGCATATAAATAATTGGCAAAATTAAGTACTTATAGAATATAAACATTTTAAAAACATTATTTGCACGTATTTGAAATAATTAGTGAGAAAATGTTATAATCAACAAGCTGTACATTTTGTTGTACAATACACCCAGAATGTTGACAAATGATTTATGTTTATTTCAGGGACCTAATACCATTATGATTGCCATGGTCATTCTGTTGAACATTGGCCTAGCTGTCTTGTTTGTTCATTTCCTAACATGACATGTTTGTAAGGTAAGAAACAAATTTTCATTCCGATAACCAAGCAATAACAGAAACAACTTGTATTTATGTAGCACCTCTAACGTAATAAACATTCTGAGGAGCCTTACTTCAGTCTCACAAAACAAAAGATGCAGCGAGCCATTTACGAAAGTATTAGGTCAGATGACGAAAACTTTAGTCAAACATGTGGGTTTTGAGGAGTTTCTTAAAAGGAAGGAAATCAAGGTGAAGAGGTAGGGAGGAATTCTAGACCTTAGGACACGGGTAGCTGAACACATATAGTCATCTGTGGTGAAGCGTTTGAGATCAGGGACCATAACAGTCCAGAATTAGAGAAATGCAAGTATTTTGAAAGGTTGAGACTGGAAGAGATTGCAGAGATAGGGAGGGGTGAGGCTTAGGGGATTTCAGAATAAGGATGAGAATTTTGAAATCAAAATATTTCTTGAGCAGAAAGTTGTGAGCACAAGGTTGAATGGGATTTAAAACAAGCTAAGACATATGCAGCAGAATTTTGGATAACTTCAAACTTATAGAGTGAAACATGTAGGAGACCAGCCAGGAATATATTGGAATAATCAAGTCTGGAGGTAACAGACATAGAGGAAGATTTCAGCAGCAGACAAGCTGAGACGATTTTTGAGTAATGCTATGGAGGAGGAGAAAGGCAGTCCTGATGATGGTGTGACTGAAGTCAGTAAATCATTTCAGGGTATGTGACCTCAAGGTTACAAACAGACTGGCTATCTCAGATTGTTGCTAGGGTAAGAGATGGAGTCACTAGCTAGGCATCAGAGTTTGGAATGGGGACCCAGTATTTAATTGGAGGATATTTTTGGCTCATTCAGTACTGGATGTCAGAGAAGCTGTCTGATAATTTAACCAAAGTAGAGGAGTTGAGAGAGGTGGTGATGAGGTAAACCTGAATGCTGTCAGTGTACATCTGAAAACTAACACTCTGCTTTTAGATGATGTCAGTGAGAACATTGGAAGATAGCAGCTTAAGAAATGGGAGCAGGATAAGGCTATTCTGCCCCTAAGCCTACCCCAGGCCTCAACTCCTCTTCTGTGCCAACTCCACATAGCTGCCAGTTGCATGATATTTCAAAAATCTATCTACCTCCTCTTTAAATACTTTCAGTGACTCAGCTGCCACAACCCTTTGAGGTAGAGAATTCCAGATATTCAATACCCTGTGGGAGAAGAGACTCCTTTGCATCTCAGTTCTAACTCATGTTGTCTTATTTTGTAACTATGTCCCCTACTTTGAGACTCCCCTCAGTGCATTTACCCTATAAAGCCGCTCAGAATCTTGTATGTTTCAACGTGATCACCCTTTATTCTTCTAAACTCGAATTAATAAAGATCTAATTCTTTTAGAAATTCTTGACAACCCCTTCATCCCAGGAATCAGCCTTGTGAATCTCTTTCAAACAGCCTCCTAAGCTAATATGTCCTTTTTTAAATACAGGGGCCAAAACTGTACACAGTACTGCAGATGCAGCCTCACCAACATCCTGTACCATTGTAACAAGACTTCCTTGTTTTGAAACTCCAAACCCTTAGCAATAAAGGCCAAAATCTAACTTCTTGTGTTTCATGCAGAAGAGCACTCTGATCCCTCTGCATTGTACTTTTTTTGGAATCTCTTTCCATTTAAATAGTCTACCTGTTGATCCTTCCTACCTCGGTAATTTCCTACATTTAACTCCGTCAACCGAGATTTTGTCCATTCATTCAACCTATCCTTATGTCCTCAAAACAATATGTCCTCCTACCTATTTTTGTGTCATCAGCAAATTTGGATACGTTACACATTGTCCTCTCCTCAAAGTCATTAATGTGGATAGTAAATAATTAGGACTGATCCTTGTGGTACTACACTAGTTACATCTTTCCAAGCTGTAAAAGACCTATTAATCCTGATTCTGTGCTTTCTATGTGTTGACCAATCCTCAATCCACACTAACATATTACCCCTAATACCATGAGCTCTTGTCTTGTGTAATAAGATTTAAGTGACACCTTTTATAGAACATCTTCTGAAAATCCAGATACACTATGTCTACCAGTTCTCCTTTATCACTCTGCTTGTTATAGCCTTAAAGAAGTCCAGCAAATTTATTAAAATGCTTTCTCTTAACCATGTGGACTTTGATTATGTTAAACTTTTCTAAAAGCTCTTATTTCTTCCTTAAAAATAGACTGTAGTTTTTTCCAAAACAACAGATTTTAGGCTAACTGGTCCATAGTTTCCTGCTTTGTGTCTCTCTCCCTTCTTGAACAAGGATATTTCATTAGCAGTTTGCCAGTCCACTGTACCTTCCTAGATTGAAGTAAGTTCTGGGCTATTTTGGCCAATGCCTCCATTATCTTTGCAGACATTTCCTTTATAACCTTTGTATACAAGCAATCAGGTCCTGTGACTTGTCTGTCTTTAGTCCCATTAGTTTGTCAAATTCTTTGTCCCTTGAAACAGAGTCTGTTACAAGATCTTTCCTCTCATTTGCACCTTGTTTATCTGTCCCTCAGAATTGCTTCCAATAGTTTCCTCACTGCTGAGGTTAGACTAACTGGCCTGTAGTTTCCTGGTTTATCTCTTGCTTTCTTTTTGAATAACAGTACCACATAGGCCGTCCTCTAGCATCTTTCCTGTGGCCAGAGAGGAATTGAAATTATTGTCAGCACCCCTGATATGTTCCCCCTTGCCTCATTCACCAGCCCAGGACACAATTCATCTAGCCCAGGAGATTTATCTACTTTTAAGCCTGCAAGATCACTCAGAACTTCCTCTCTGTCTGAACTACCTTATTTAATTAAATCACAGTTATTCTCCGTCTTACTCGTGAACACCAACACAAAATGTATATTTAGAACCTTAGCGACATCATCTAGCTCCCCATGCGAATTACCACTGTGGTTCTTAATTGTCCCTATTCTTTCCCTTTCATCTTTAATGCGCATGCAAAATAACCGAGGATTTTCCTTTATTTTATCTGCTAACGCCCTTTAATGCTTAGCCGAACTCGTCCTAGCCCTCAACAACTTCTCTTTCAATTCCTCCCACTTTCTACAGACAAAGGGGGTGGCCATGGGTACCCGCATGGGCCCAAGCTATGCCTGCCTCCTTGTAGGTTACGTGGAACAATCCCTCTTCCGTAGCTACACTGGCTCTAAACCCCACCTCTTCCTCCGTTACATTGATGACTGTATCAGCGCCGCCTCATGCTCCCACGAGGAGCTCGAACAGTTCATCCACTTCACCAACACCTTCCACCCCAACCTTAAGTTCACCTGGACCATCTCTGATACCTCTCTCTCCTTCCTGGACCTCTCTGTCTCCATTTCTGGCGACCATCTGGAAACCGATATCCATTTCAAGCCCACCGACTCCCACAGCTACCTAGAATACATCTCCTCCCACCCACCTTCCTGCAAAAATGCCATCCCCTATTCCCAATTCCTTTGCCTCTGCCACATCTGCTCCCAGGATGAGGCATTCCACTCCCGAACATCTCAGATGTCCTCGTTTTTCAAGGACCGCAACTTCCCCCCGTCAATGGTCGAGAACGCCCTCGACCGTGTCTCCCGCATTTCCCGCAACTCATCCCTCACACCCCCTCCCCGCAATAACAACCAAAACAGAATCCCCCTCTTCCTCACGTACCACCCCACCAACCTCTGGATCCAACGCATCATCCTCGGACATTTCCGCCATCTGCAATCCGACCCCACCACCAAAGACATTTTTCCCTCCCCACCCTTATCTGCTTTCCGGAGGGACCACTCTCTCCGTTTCTCCCTTGTCCACTCCACACTCCCCTCCAGCCCCACCACACCCGGCACTTTTCCCTGCAACCGCAGGAAATGCTACACCTGCCCCTACACCTCCCCCCTCACCCCCATCCCAGGCCCCAAGAAGACTTTCCACATCAAGCAGATGTTCACCTGCACATCTGCTAATGTGGTATACTGTATCCGCTGTTCCCGTTGTGGCCTCCTCTACATCGGGGAAAACCAAGCGGAGGCTTGGGGACTGCTTTGCAGAACACCTATGCTCGGTTCGCACTAAACAACTGCACCTCCCAGTCACGAACCATTTCAACTCCCCCTCCCATTCCCCAGATGACATGTCCATCCTGCGCCTCCTGCAGTGCCACAACGATGCCACCCGAAGGTTGCAGGAACAGCACCTCATATTTCGCTTGGGAACCCTGCAGCCCAATGGTATCAATATGGACTTCACAAGCTTCAAAATCTCCCCTCCCTCTATCACATCCCAAAACCAGCCCAGCTTGTCCCCGCCTCCCTAACTTGTCCTTCCTCCCACCTATCCCCTCCTCCCACCTCAAGCCCCACCCCCATCTCCTACCTACTAGCCTCATCCCGCCCCCTTGACCTGTCCGTCCTCCCTGGACTGACCTATCCCCTCCCTACCTCCCCACCTACACTCACCTTTACTGGCTCCATCCCCGCCTCTTTGACCTGTCTGTCTCCTCTCCACCTATCTTCTCCTCCATCCATCTTCTATCCGCCTCCCCCTCTCTCCCTATTTATTTCAGAACCCCCTTCCCCTCCCCCATTTCCGAAGAAGGGTCTAGGCCCGAAATGTCAGCTTTCCTGCTCCTCTGATGCTGCTTGGCCTGCTGTGTTCATCCAACTCTACACCTTGTTATCTCAGATTCTCCAGCATCTGCAGTTCCTACTATCTCTGAAACCCTTTAATGCTCCCTTTTTTCTGTCCTAATTTCCTTTTTAAGGTCGCCGTTACATATTCTATACTCCTTTAGTGCTTCTGCTGTTTGAGCCCTTGGTATCTGCCATAAGTGTCCCTTTTTCTTTTGATATCTCTTGATATCCAGTGTTTGCCAGATTCGTTGATCCTACCCTTTATCTGTATTGGAACATGTTGGCCCTGTACTCTCCATATTTCTTTCTTGAATGCATCCGACTGCTCTGACACAGATTTACCTAAAAGTATCTGTTCCCATTCCACTCTGGCCAACTAATTTGTGATCTTATTGAAACTAGCCTTCCCCCCAATTTACGTTGACTTCAGGCCCATCTTTGTCCTATTCCATGACAACCCTGAATCTAATGGATTATTGATCACTGTCTGCAAAATGCATGTCCAATGATATTTTAACCACTTACCCAATTTCATTATCTAAAATTGAGTCCAAATCCTCTCTTGTAGGCACTTCTATGTACTGACTTTAAAAGCTGCCCTGAATGCATTTTAAGAATTCTGGCATGTTGAAACCTTTAACACTATGACTAGCCCAGTTATTGTTGAGGAAGTTAAAATTCCCCACTATCACTTCCCTATTACCCTTCCCTGCAATTTGCCTACATATCTGCTCTTTTTTTCCCGACTGTTAGGGGGCCTACAGTACAAGCCTGGCAATGTAATTGCTCCATTTTGGTTTTCCCCCTTTACAGGTGTTTCCCTCTCATTCATATCTGCCATTATCATCCCTCTCCTCAAAATAAAACTCTTGACCACACAGTCCTTGTATAGACGTAGAGAGGGGTGATAATGGCAAATTTGAATGAGAGGGGAACAACACCTGTAGAGAGGAAACTTGCAATGATATTGGCCCACATCGATATCAGGAGGATATTCAACGATGAGTAGTTTAATGTGAATAAGACCACTGGAACAAGAGGTGGGTTATAAGGACAAGATAAGCACAGAGGGAACATGAGGGAAATAAAGAAACTATATAAAAAAAAGAGTTCAGAGTACAGCAGGGCGAGCATTAGAGGAAGTTTAGCTCAGTGGGCAAGTGTAAGGGAGGGAAGCAACAGAGGTAGTAGATCAAATGGTCTAGATGTCAGTGACAAAAGTTAACAAACTCCTTGCACTTACAATTGTTCCACAACATGTCTAATTCTTTAACAATCTTTATGTGATTCAATTCTAAAATCAAAAGCCTAAGGTTCTTTTTTATAACAGTTTTAGAAATTTCCTCTTAACGCAAGAATGACGTCACTCAAATTCTTTATGATCATTGCAGAAGCTCTTGCGCTCCTTTTCCCAATGAGAATAAGGAAGACGACGTTTGGAAAATTAAACATCCTGCAAGACTCGACACAAAGACACTGCAGAGTCTGATTACACTGGCCCCTTCTGAAGACTTCCTTGATCTGTTTGCTGTCACCAGTTTGTGCCCTACAATTTTGGAAATGAGATACATTGGAAGATCTACATCTGACCTGAATTTATTTGTAGAAACTAACAACTGCCTTACCTTATGCCTGTGTTTATATTATACAGTACTAGCTGCCAAGGATTGTGCTTGAAAGCTTGAATTATTCTATTGTATAAAGGGATGGGAGGAGAGAAAAACACTTATAGAAAAGAAAAGGTTGACTTAGATAAGGTAGATCTTGCTCACATATTTTTGTAGGCTTGATGACATTTTTGGTTAATCTAGGTACAATGAAAAGAAGAATTCAATATGAATATTGCTGTACATACTCAACTCTTAAGTCCAAAAGATTTAGGGCTATATTTTCCTCTGTTCATTATTCCTGGTGAAAGAAAGTAAAGTGGTGTTTCCCATTTTATACACATTTTTTTCTCCACTGAACATAACAGAGGACAGTACTTTCTTAGAGATTGTCTTTTGGAAAAAGATTATGGATGCTTTGCACTGCATTCATAGGGCTTTTTATATGTTGTGAAGGGAAATATTGGTCTATTGTGAATTTAACACATTGTTCTCTCTCTCTCTCTCTCTCTCTCTCTGCATTACAGTCCTAATCAGATGAGTAAGAGAATTATGATTCATGTTTGTTGCATGTTTGTCAATGAGCTATTTTTTCATAATATTTTAAAATTAATTATGCCACCTACCATACTTAAGTCAGTATTCATTTTTGAGCAATGCTGTAATAAGCTAAGCGAAAAGGGAATGCACAAATCTGCTCTTAACATCATAATGCTTTCAGAATTAAATTTATTAAACATTCAAGGAAGACCAGCACTACTTTGCAACAAATTTAATACTGCTTTACATTTTGAATGCCGTATTAGTTTTTTAAAAAAAAGCATAATTGCAGTTAGTTACCTTATACTTTTGACAAGACTTTTTGGCACATCGAAGCTGTACAACTACTCAAGGTATGAACTACAGACTTTGTTCCTCCTTCAAATATTAAAAAAAATGTCTAACAGTATTTCTGTCAATGCATTCAAAGTACATCAGTCAGCTTAAACCAGCCTTGTCTCATAGCACTAGCTACTTGATTGCTTTCAGGGTATTACCTTTCCATTTTTGTGCTGAAGTACAAAATCTTTTGAGCTGTTTTTTCTTGCCTTTCTCTGCATGTGTGCACATTGTAGAATGATAGCATAGATGATTTTAAATTTTGTTTTACATAGGACAAGGTATGTATTCTTTTGCGTGGGTATGCATTAAGAACTGTTTTTACCTTGTAAGATTTATATATAAAAAGATAAAAGTACCTCAGAGATGCATGCTTCTCCAAAATTTTGATTGAAATGCTTATTTAATATTTTCAGGTCTTGTTACAAGATGAACAATTTCACCAGCCACACTGAACTCTTATCTTCCAGATATTTATTCAATTTCTATAAATAAGTATTGGTAATACTACTTTGTTGGGTAATACCCCAAGAAGGATTTTGTGGGATGTGGTCAAGTAAAGAAACGTGTATTTATATCCTGCAACATAGTAGTTTTAAAAATCCTCCTTAATTTGAATATCCAAAATATTATATAGTATTCTGACTGTCTTTTTTACACTGCCTCATGAGACAATTAAAGTGAAATGAATCAAAATTAATGTAACTGATTCACAAGACAGTTATTACATTGAATAGTTTTGACATAGTAGACTGAGTGGGAAGTTTAGTTCAGTCATATTATCAGAACCATGAGGATTAGTGCCTTAAATTACAGATTTCTTATTGCACACAAAATACTTCAAATCGTAATTTATCTCATTGATTGAGTTTCAAAACTCCATATTGGATGATATGAATCACCATTGTATGACCCAGGATCTATAGATACAGGAAGTCACATGACTAAACCATAACAACTTCCTGGAAAATGCACTAACTTGTAAAGGTTATAAACCATAGTAAACCTAGTATATTCCAAAGCTCTAAAATCATGGTCTTTCTATAATATTTATTTTCTCAATTTGAAATAATAAAACTGATTTTTTTAAAATTTTGACAGTATTGTTGAAAATAGTGAGTAGCAGACTGGTCACCAACTACGAAATCTTCCCGATTATTGTTGCGTCTGACTCTAATGGCATAAACAGTTAGCGAGCATGATAGGCAACCAGCCTGTGGTCATCTGTTTTCTACTATCACTACAAGGTGAAATCACTTGTCTGTTTGCTTAATTTGATGATTATCATCATGTTGGGACTGATTTTTAACTAGTTGAGATTGGCATTTATGACGAGGTAACACCATCAGATGGGTTTAAGAAATTTTCTGGTCTGCTGGAAGTACTACACCGCGCCATTTTAAAAGGGCCTTCTCATCAAGACCCAAGGACATGCCAATTTCAAATGATAGGCATCTTTACTGTGCAAATCAGGGTATAGTTAGGACCTTGAATTCAATTTCAAGGTGACATGGTGGGAGAATTTATTGCATACAGTTCATTCATGTTCCTTTCCTTTCAGCAGCTTAAACAGTGATCTGTAAATGGATCCATTCCAGAAGCTGCGCTAAAACTTTTTTCCAAATTAAATTTGTGCAAAGCCAGGAAGAACCGTGATTCTCCCCGTAAGTCCAGAAAGAAACTACAAATCATTGATGGTGTGAATTTACATCTTGCACTTTGCAACTTGCAGGGGAGATGTAGACACAGCTAGAAAGTTGCAGCAAAATGTTAACTGAGTGTTCAGCTTCCCTGTGTTATACATCTAGGGCCAGATTTTTGCAGCTGTGGGGACTCCAGAGACTTTTAAAAATACTAGTAGGACCCAAATCTGGAAGTCCTGCTACACCTCCCATTTTGGCAGTGTGATAAAGGATTCAGGAATTGATTCAGACATGAGGGAAACCTGAACTCAACTGGGTCCTTTGAACTCTGTGCTATGTTCAAACTGATCCCATTTTCATTGCCGCAAGGGCGCTATCCCACTGTGAGAGTTATAACCCTTAGAGAGATGATAAAAGCTCGAAGGGCCTGACAAAGTATGTAGTATTGTAAAGTTAAATTGCCAACCCTTTACAAATTGAAACTGCAGATGCTGGAGATATGAAGCAAAAACAGGAAATGATGGAGAAACTCAGCAGATCTGGTTGCATCTGTGAGGAGAAAACAGAGTTAATGTTTTGCGTCCTGTGACTCTTCTGTACTGATCCAGTTCTGATGAAGGGCCTAATAATTATGAAAACAACTGGTTCAAAATCACAGAGAACAGAAGCAAGCCTTTCAAAGAGTCTGAATGGTTCTGAAGAGTCACCAAACTTGAAACATTAATTCTGTTTTCTGTCTCCACAGATGCTCAGACCTCGCTGAGTTTGTCTAGTACTTATTTTTTGTTTCAACAAAAAATGTCTATGTCTGAGAGTTGAAGAAAATCTGCTCAAACAGTGTGAATAGCTGTTTTTAGAGTACTATTAATGATAGGTTATGGAAAGCAGCTAACTATTATTATAATTCGGAGGAGGGGTTTAAGTTCATAATTTAATTGACAGCTCAACGCATAGGTTATTTAAAGATTGCCCATCTTTGTGTGTTTATGAATAAAAGTACTTATTCTTTTATATAGCGCATTAAGTACTTGAGGGGAATTAAATATATTGACATAATTTGAATGGGACTTTTTTGTACTGTGGAACCTAAGAGATTTTCTAGAACTCTATTTTGTTTAATAGATCATGGGCGTGTGTTGGCATTGGTGCTTTTAGGGGCTGTGGGTGGGGGTTGTGAGTTGGCATAAATGGCATAAGAGATCATGAAAGTGGGTGAGCAGAGACTGAGGGAGTATTGTGGGTGGGATGAATATGCTGTGCATGGACATGAGAATTGAGTGGGGAGGTGTTATGTTTAGAGGGCTTAATGGTTGAAAAAAGAACTGGGACGAAACTACAGAGAATAGAAACAAGCCTTTCAAAGAGTCCACATAGTGGCACTCCTATAGCCCTTGTGGTTACCTCCAATCTGCCCGACTCCACAATCCCATTGCCCTCATTTTCCCCATCCCCTGCTTCCCTGGCACACACATCCCAATGGGGGACATGCTTTCAGGATATGGCAAGTTGAGCTGAGAAATTTCCCAAATCAAACAATTGGTATCAGGCAGAATTAATCTCTAGTTTCCCACTGGCAGAATGGCAGGTGAGGGGAAGTCATTGTTCTCCACCAGGCAGCTGGCTGGAATGTTTAAAAATTACCCCTTCATTTCCTTGTAAGGAAGCATTTTTGGAATTGTGCAATATGTCCTTCAATCTTGGATGCCACCGGTCTTTTTTAAAAATATGTCTGCTGGCCCTGATTTCTGCACTCAGTTAAAAGTCACCCTGATAATTGTCACATATCAAGTGCCTAGACATCCTGTAAATATTGCTATGATCGATATGAATACTGCACACAGCTGTTTTGCAATTGAACATGAAATTTTCAGAATATGGAATCTAATTTTAAAATGCCTTTCTTTTTGCATGTAATTGAATGCCATGTTTTCGGTGGGGGTGATCGGAACAGGAACTTCTGATACGTAAATTTTATTCTTTGACCTAAGCATTATGCAGAAGTCAAGAACAGACTGGCTAATAACAAGCAAATAAAACAGGTTAAAAATTAAGCTGATTCAAAAACAGCTTTGCTGAATATTTCAAAGAATGTATACTTCTTGTGGGATCCACAATGAATTACAACAATGCAATTGTGATTGAACACAAAATATTTTAACGAATGCTTTGACAAGCTGCCAATCTTTATTTCAGTTTGATCTGGTAAAGGAAATAAAGACAATGGATTTTTTTTTTGCTGAGTCGGTACCGAGCAGATACTGTCATCAGATAGGCCTGCCCTTGCGTGATAGGTTTCCAAAATACTTGCGTGTCAAGTGCTAAAAGGGTAAGCTGATAATGGTGCAGGGAGAGAAATAACGAAGCTGGGGCTTGAGTGAACAGGGCAAGAAACTGCATAACCCTAGCTTTTTCGAATTAGATTGAAGCATTGTGAACCAAACATTGCAAGAACCGGGGAGGAACTGCATATTAAAATGGATGAAATCAATGCCAAATAATTTCCAGGAAGAGAAATAATCAGAGTGGGAAAGAAGGTTTAGACAAAAAGTGAGGCAAAACATTAAATTAAAATTTTTACATTTTACAATTAATAAAAACTTAAAACCTGAATTAATGAGAGTCTACACTCGTAATGGTTAGTTTTCAGTACCAGAAAGGGTGATTAGCATTAATACTTTGTTACGTTGTTAAAGGGATACTTAGATCGCAAATGACAACTCCTGGTGGTGAGTGTAATTCATAACAACTGTGCAAACACCCGAATTTCACATTAGTCAATATACTGTCAGTGTGGAGATTGACAGTGACATGCCTTTTTTGTGAAGTCAGTGGCAGAGCTGAATATCCTGGATATCAGCTTTTCGATCACCATATTAAATAACCAGAGCATTTTCACTTGATGTTGCTGTGCCATTTACGGATGAATAATGGTGAAGGTTATTTCCTGCTTAATTTGCCAATAAATTATGTTGAATGTTTTGTTATGATTTAAGTAGAGATCAGTAACTTATTTTTCAAAAAAAAAATGAAATTCAAAATCCCAGGTAAATACCAAAAGAATAAAGGCATAAAATTGCACAATTTTAGACTTTTTTAATTCATAGAGGAGAAAAACAAAGCAAATACTAAATACTGTTTAAGCTAGCTATCTTAGTTATCTCCATTGCTGTAGGAGGTCCTGCTGTGTAGTGGCCTATCCCAGCCATCTTCAGTGACTTCATCAATGACTTTCCCTTCATCATTACATGAGAAGTGGAATAGTTCACTGATTGCACAACATTAAGCACCATCCGCAACTCTGGATACTAGTACATTGTGTCCAATTGCTGCAAGTCCACTGCAACTGTCAGGCATGGACTGATAGGTAGCAAGTAATTTTCAGATCACACAAGTATCAGACAGTGACCATCTTCAACCAGTGAGAATCTAATTATTTACACTTTTCATTCAACTGAATATTAGACTATCGACATCCTGAGGGTTACTGTTGACCAAAACATGAACTGCACATGCCATTTAAATACATTGGTATAAGAGCAGGTTGAAGGCTGAAAATTCTGAAGCAAATAATTCATCTCTTAATATCAAAGCCTCTCCAATTTTAATGAAGATCCGTAGCTGAGGTTGTGGTTGGAGTTGTTGGCTGGTTCGGCGAGTTGGCTGGTTTTTCATGCAAATGTTTTGTCTCCTTTCTAGGTGATGCTGTCAGTGCTGTGTACCTCCGTTGAAGCGCTGTTGTTCTGTCCTGGTCCGGTCTGTCATGGCAGCAAAACGGCACGACTAATTCTTCATTTCAATGCACTCCAACATAGAAGGACGTCAATTTAACAGGGACAAAGCTATAGTACTAGGACAAGTGAGACAAAGACAAGCACAAGAATTCCTGGAGGCCTGGTTTTCAATCATTTCAACAAGTTGAAATAGACCCCATCTAATACCACTACAGTACAAAACCGGAAACAAGACTGCCCACCATGATAAACTGGACCTTACGAATTCAGAGCGGGACGGAACAACAGCACTTCAATGGTGGCCACGCAGCACTGACGATGTCACCTAGAAATGAGACGAAACGTTTTCATGAAAAGTCAGCTTGGCAAACCAAACAACAACTCCTTTCCAATTCTCTATAAGACATGAGTCAGAAGTATGATTGAACACTCTACACTTCCTTACAAGAGTGTAGATCCAAAAAAGACTGAAAAAGCTTGACACTATATAGGAGAAAGCAGTGGGCTTGATTGGCAATTGATTCACCATCTTTCATACTGTCTGTCACTGATGCAGTGACAGCAGTTTGTACCATCTACCCAAGATGCACTGTACCAACTCAGCAAGCCTCCTTTGACAGCACCTTCCAAAACCCTGACCTCTAGAAGGATGAGGGTAGCAGATGCATGGCAACACCACCACCCAGGGCAAGTTCCCCTCCAAATCATACACCACCCTGTAATGTAATTATGTTGCTTTTTCTTCATTCTCATTAGATCAAAATACTAGAATTTCCTAACAGCACTACAGGTTTAAACATGAGACAGTCTGCAGGATCTGCAAGAAAGCATCTCACCCCCCTCTTTCAAAGGGAATAAGGGACGGGCTATAAATTCTGGCATAGCAAGCAATGCCCACATCCTATGAACTAAAAAAAACCCACATAATCAACATGCATTAAACATGAACTAACAAATTGCTGTTGGATTACTATCTGTAAATTACACATTAAATGGCAACTATAATTAAGGTAGATCTTGCAAATTGGTTTAGCAGTCTAGCATACAGATCAGGTCAAACTCAGGCGACAAAATCATTAAAAACTGTGTCTTCCTGACAACGAATTTCATCTCCCAGGACTTGAGCTCCATGAGCAAAGTCTTCACCAAAACTGGTATATGTCTCCAGAAGTTACCTCCAACTGAAAGAAATAACTGAAGTAAATAATCTCTTTGCTTATTCTTAGCTTCTCAGCCTAATGTCTTTTATTTGTGTTGCCTGTACTGCATCACTGGACTCACCAATGCAACTTTGATAACTTTGCATTATGTGAACTTGTTTCAGTCAGCTCAGTTTTGGTTTCAGTTTTCTTTCCTTATGAACTGTGTAGGTCAATTTTGTTGCCTTGTTGCCCTATTGAGGTCGATCTTAAAAAATTGCTAGTTTAAAATCAAGATTCCATCAAAACATACAACCCCATGCATTTTAGTCAGCATTATTTTAAGACCAGTAGTAATCAGATCATGGTAACTGATTAGAAAATCTAGGCCAAATTCTTACTTTAAGATGAGATTTCAATTAGTTTTGTGAACAAAACAAAAAAGACATATGTTCAAGATAAATTTATTCCAACTATTTTTATACAAGTCTCCAGACCTTTGTAAGAAAATATGACTTCTGTCAACCCTATTAGATTATGACACTGCATGAAACTAAAGATTATTTTGTATTTTGGTGTAATCAGATACTTTGGACTCTGAATGTAATATATGAGATAAACTTTGTTTCTGCTGTAGTAGATCTGCTCCGATGATATTTGTCACTTAAAAAATAATGACACATACTGAGTATAAAATGAGAATTTTAAGTCTAAATTAGCTAATTGCCACAACTGACTAAATGTTTCCATGTAATTTCTTACTGCTTATTGCTTATCAATATACGATTAAACTAGTGACGTTGAAAAGAATATCCATGCTTATTTTATGTAGTTTTCAAACTCAAGCATCCATTTACTTACTGTATGGTAGTCTCAGCAGAATTTGCAACATTAGATGTAACCTTGTTATTTACATTAGAATACATTCACCATTTAGATGTTTTAATACTCTTATATGACTCTAGACAATTAAACTTTGTTCTCTCTTTTCTGTTACTGTTACTATATATGCAAAAAAAAATTTAGGTCCATGTTCCACTTATGTTCAACCTTTTCATGGCAGTTATTCATATTTTAAATCTTCATTCCACCTTTGGACAGGATTTAATCACCGATACAGAAACCTTGAGGTATAGAAACTAGGAGATAATGCAGTTAAATTGGAAGTAACGGTGTTATGTGTCTATTTTTCTTGACATATAAAAATCTGAGGAGTCAAAAACCAGTTTGTACTTTGCTGCAGAAAACAGCAATATATGTTTTGTATTTTTACCTGGCTGAGAACAGCAGTGACATAAAATACTCTGAAGTACAGCCTGTGGCCATTTTTGGATTTTGACATGGATATAACTTAATATTAACAATGTTTAACCTGTATTTCTTTAAACTGTTATAATGCATGTATTGTTTGATGTCTAGCTCAGGCTAACAGGATTTTAAGTTCCATTATTTCTGCAAAAGACTAAAATAATTAATTATGTAAGTAAGCTATTGTAATTTTTAAGATTACTTAATTATAGTATTAATTTCTTGTAAATAATTTTATTGGTATGAAAATATTCTTCTGATTAGAGAAACAATAATGTCTTTAACAAAATAACTGACAAGGTAGAAATGATTTGATATCTAAACCTGAGAAGTGACCTTATCAGTAAATGGGTTGAATTCCATAAATTAAGCCTTGCTGGCATTAGACCTGGAAAACCGGAGTTTAGTTTCCTGTTGGCTTAATGGAAACTTGAAGCTGCATTAAATGTACACTGTGTGATTGAGCTAGACGCAGAGCCTTTATTAGTTCAGACTTGGGTCAGACTTAATTGGATGTTATTTGCTCTTCTTTACTACACTGGGGGCAATAGATTTTTGAAAGAAGTCAATAAAGCAACATATGTAAATTGTACAAGGTCTGCATTGTATCTTACAGGACTTTTGATGTGATAGAACAATGTTAAATTCTATAGGACTTTTGTTACATTTCAGGGTTAGATAGGGTTAGGGTCAGTCTCACCTGCGATATGGTTAGGGTTTGTTCAAAATCGCAGGATGTTGATATTGGCACATGCATAATGAACAGTGTGAGATTATTCACTGAGGATGCTGCTCAGATAAGAAAAGGATACATTATGCCAAAACTGGGACTTTGTCTCAAAATTTCCCCTACAAATAGGTGAGGTTGCTGAATAGCATCGGTAATTTATATTCATGATAACTTCACGCCCAAACATTAATTTTGCTTATAGTGTGTGTATATGTGTGTTGAACACAAATTGAAGTCCAAGTGCTGAGTGACCCTCAGTTCAATTATGTTGCATTTGTAGGCCTTCCAAATAAAAAAAAACTAAATCTGAATTAAGGCTCCATGGACTAACAAGATGGCATGAATACTATAAACACTATATAAAACTAATCCTGCTGGTCTACTTTATGACGATATTAATGCATTTTCTTGTTTGTATGAACATTTTCCCTTCACTGTTGCTTTTAAATAAACGTACTTTTCATTCTTTGGTTTTGTATTGAACATTTGTCCAAAACTTTCAAATGGATTTGTTTAGCAGTCTGCCAAGTTAACTGAGCTCAGGCAGAATGACAGTAAGTAGCTATAAATAACGTCACTACACTTGAAACAAGGTAAAACAAAAATCTAGTCTGGATTTTCACTGCTTTTAACATCCAGTGATTCACTACTAGAAGTGCATGTAGCAGCGAGTATGGAGTATTTCAGCCTTGGTGTCCCCTTCCATAGTCAAATAGTCACCATTCAATAACAAACATTCACAAGACATAAGAGCAAGTCCTTGGGCTATCAGCATTAGTATTGCCAAATTTAATACCTTTCTGAATCAGCACTCTCCTCTCCAAAAGACAATATTTATTTTCTGAATTGCATTCCCCAAAAACTCAAAAGCTTAAATTTATATAACAGTTGCAACATAGTGAAACATTCCAAGTGCTTCACAGTAGCACAATTAAGGAAATTTATCACCAAATCATATTGTTAGGTGATCAGAAACTTGGTTAAAAAGGAGCATCTTGAAGGATTAAGAGGAGTATCAGGGGAATTATGGAGCTTAGGGCCCAGACAGGTAAAAGCACAACAAACAATAGTGAAGTGAAGAAAAAACAGAATGCAGTACTCCATGTGGAAGCCCTAACAACTTTACACAAATAAAGTATGACATGCACTCTTACATTTTAATCCCCAGGAAATAAAGACTAACATTTTTTAACACCTTCATTTTGGTTCAACTTATGTCCAAAGTGACAGACTGTCGAACAACAGTATATTGAGGATACCAAATTGCGATTCCACCAAGCCTGCATTCTCAGCGCCGTCCACTATTGTCCTGAAAGCTAGGCAACATATTCTAGGCAGAGACAGGGTTGAATAATTTCCACCTTCACTACCTCAGACTAGTTCAGCATCCCTCAGCAAGATCACAAATGCCAGAGTGTGCTAGTTCCATCAGCATACACTGAGTACTAAGCTAAGAACAACTGCAATGGTTTAACCATGTTCTTTGAATGAATGACAGCCATATACACAGATTTTAAGGTGAGTGTGTCACGTGGTCAAGATCTGGTGGGCGTTTTGTATATCTGCAAGTGAGAAATTAATATGGCAAATATTAATGCTGATAACTGGCAATCATGATTAGTGACTATCTCCCAAAAGCTGACTGTTTTGAAGAGAATTGGAAGAGGCAAGAAGAAACAACAATCTCGGTTGGATGGGAAGGGGGCTCAGAGAAAATGGGTTAGCAAATCATGCACCATGTCAGCCCACTGTTTTCCTCTGCAGCAAATGCAGGAGAGCCTGTCACGGCAGAACAGGACTCCAGACTGAGACCAGGTGATGCTGAACAGAAAGTTGACCATCATGGCATCAATCATCATATGAGACAGAAGCCTACTAATGAAATGATGCTTTTTGGGTCTTTTGGCATGTGTCTGTGGTAGTTTTTTTTTAAAGATGCTTTTTTTTTACCACTCTAAGAACTCATAAGATTATTGTTTTTAAAAATTTATAAAAAAAATTTTAGTGTCAGGATTTGCAAAAAGTAATACAGAATATTTTTTAATTACTAGTGAAGTTCAGTGGTTTCTCATCATGTGGGAGGAAAAATATCTGTCTTTTATTTATAATGTCCTACATTTCTATACTTGTGGGCTAAAGACCTGGGAACCAGATCTACTTATCCCTATGATCAGGCTGTTTCATTATATCTATAATGCAGACAATTTTTTTTGTATTCTTTCATTAGATATGATCATCCCTAGCAGTTCCTGAAATTCTCTCATCCTCAATTGTCCTTGAACCGAAAGGCCTACAAAGTCATTACAGAATGGAGTTAATACTTTACTGTGAATCTGGAGTCACTTTTTTATGCATTAATATGATGTGAACATCACTGGATAGTTTATCATTAATTGCCCTTGACAAGGTAATGGCGAGCCGCCATCTTGAAGTGCTGCAGTCCTTGGGGCCGAGGTACGCCCACCGTGCTGTTAGGAAGGAGTTTGAATTGGGGAATTCTGACTGGGGAATGTGACTTTTCAATTTCATTCCTGATTTGATTACAGCAAGTGAGCTTTTATCACTGCTTATGCTGTTCATAGGCTGCTGGCTTAATGGGAACTGAGAACATTAGGTCATCTGGACATGATTTAAAGGCAGCTTGCATCTCCCACAGGCAACACCCTCTTTAGCTGCAGGCAACTGAAATTCGGTTTAACAACAAAGTGGAGAAAGAGATGCTACTGCCAGGCCCTTTGATACTCTGCTCCATTGGAGCTTCTGGTGCAAAGGATAATAGGACAAGAGAGAAGCTTTTCCCATTGGGACCTTTTCAACAAAATATCCTGGCTGCAATGGTAAACATTTATAGAGAAGGAAATGCCAGCAGTCTTGCAGCCAAGACCAGGTAACAATGTAGAAATAGTTTGCAGGTTTTCAACACAAAAGTCCTATACTTCACATATGTTGCTTTGTGCTGAGTTGTGCATCACCTCCAGCATCACTACTCACATGCCTTGCTCCATTCTCCCATCACTCTTCTCCAATCACTGCAGCTCACCGAAACCTCCTTCCACTGTGACAGTAATTATCTGTACTCTCATTATTGCTTCTCTCATTTTCCCACATTTCTGCTCCCTTTCTTTATACATCCACAACTTACATCTTCAAGACACCTCCAACTAACACGTTCTTTTCTTACATAATACGTACTGGAAGACAGAAGAAGGGAAGTCAGACTTGCATGTTCTGTTCTCTCTTTGAGAGATGCCAGAGATCATGGGCAGAAGTCATGCCAGGTCTGTGTTGACTGGCGGGGCTGAAGGACAAATCCTGCAGAACTTTCTATACAACTCACTTTCATCTCCCCACACACTGCTTGGCAAAGTGCAGCTATTTTGAGCAGCCATTCATTTTTCCTTCCCTTACCCTTGTCACCAAGAGCTAACCCTTGTCTCTCTCCCTCTTTTCAGTTAACAAGAACAGGACTCTAAGCTGTAAAAGAGCACAATGGATATGAAAAATTGAGCATCACAGGTGAGCACTAGCTCGAAGACTGATAGCAGCATACTTCAGTGGATCCAGGAAAATCAATAAGAGCTCAAGACCACCACTATTGAAGTCAAGCAGTAGTCTATGACTAAGACAGTGGCCATTGAAGGTACTGACACTCCGAATTACTTTAAGGTAGCTATAAAAGAAAACCTGAAAAAGAAAAACTGTACCTCGTCCAGATGCTGCAGTAGGTACTGTTTGTGAGGTGTACCTGTGTACTGGAAGATACATGTGTTAATACACAGAGTCCTGTTTTTAATATATACATACACTGCATCTATTTCAACTCAAAATAGGTAACAAGCATTTCCTAGTTAATTCTTCAGAGCAATGCTTTGAACAATCAGAGTTAATCCTCTTGGTTTAAATGCAGTTAACTGTCAGTCATCACTTACTGGTCCATTTGCCAACTAATAAGTATTCTCCAGTCTCTTCTTCTACAGTATAAATATTTTCCCTTTACATTGATACTCCTTGCAGATTGTCCTGATAATTGGAAGACCAAAAACTTCCACAATGATTTTTATTCAGCAAGACTTAAATTCTGTACTACAAAATTACTAATTACAAATTAATTTAAATCAAAGATATCAGACTTAGATCACGTAAATTAAAAGGTCCAGTAAGTCAACATCCAGTTGAGATTTTTTCAGTTGGCTGATCACAGAAATGACTTTTGTAGCTCAGATGCAGTGTAATTGTTAATGCATTTGGCCTATTTGTGAATTGAGAATCAGTTCACTTCACAGGTGATACACAAGGTTCCCTTTTCAGAGATCAGATTTTTGAGAGATATTGAGATCAGTGCAGGCATTTAGCTAGGACTGGAGCTGCTTACTATTTGGGTGTTACAAACAGACTGCCAACAGCAGACAAATCTATATAGATGAAGGTGTTTAAACAAATCAGCAATTTATTAATGTAAATAGGGTTTTGGATGGAGACACTCAGCTAACAAAGTGGATTTCATATTCTCTCATCAGAAACCATTGCTTTCTTTCATGGCAGATAAACAAGGATTTGTTTGCAGTAATTCAATCACTTGGTGGGTTTCACTCTTTGTTGAAAACTGGCTGAGGTAGACATCTCATCTGCTTGTCCTTTGTGTTGGCTTGCCTGGAATGTTCATACAATGAAACTTTTCAGGAAGTGATGATCTCACTTTTGCCCGAATGATTACAGGATATTGGGGGAAGCAGTCAACTTGCCCATTTTGCATCCAATAACAGACATTTTAAAATACAGCAAGAGTTGATCTAAAATAAACAGAATTTAGGATGTCCATCTTCCTATCCTCTTGACTTTCATTTGGAAATAAAACTATTGCAATTAACCCCATTGTTGTCTCACCAATCCTTGTGCATGATTGGTACAGTTATAGCAAAGTGAAGAACAGAACAATTAGTTCTAACCATGGTCTCCACCACTGGGTGACTGCTTCACAGAACATCTATGTTCTGCCAGCAGTAAATACCCTGAGCTGCTGGTTGCCTGCAACTTTAACGCACCACCCTGTTCCCTGGACAATCTCTCTGTCTCAGATTTGTTGCAGTGTTCCAGCAAAGCTCAGCACAATCTGGAAGAACAACACTTCATTTTCTGCTTGGGACCCTGCAGCCATGAAGACTCAATATTCTTCTGAGGAAGGGTCACCGGACCCAAAACATTAACTCTGTTTTTTCCTTCACAGATGCTGCCAGACCTGCTGAGCTTTATCAGCAAATTTGTTTTTGTTCCTGATTCACAGCATCCACAGTTCTTTCGCTTTTTATTTAGTATCAGACTCAATATCAAGTTCAATAATCTTAGGGCCTGGACTCTCCCATGTCCTAGCCCCCAACCCCATATCCAGGCCTTGTTATCACATAGTCTGCCATTACACGTTACCAATTGTTAATCACTAACAGTTCCCATTAACAGCTATTCACCCTCCC